GCTCTGAAAGCTTTCAGAGCTCGCCTCCTCTCTCTTTCCTCGCTTTTTCTCTCTTCCACGTCCTGTCGGCCTGTACCTTGCCGCTCCCCTGCGCCCTCCCCCCCTCTCTCTCTCTCTCTCTCTCTCTCTATCCTTCTCTCATTAATATACCGACGACTGAATTAAGCACGCCTACGGTTTATCTCCTTCTTGCAATGCGTTTAGGCAGGCTCATACGTAGCCGTTAGCTCTTGGCCGGGTGAGATAGGACGAAGAGCTCATTCACCAAGGAGCTTTACTCCTGTCCTGCGGCGCGTCAACTCTCGAAACCGAGGAGCAAAAGTGCGAGAGAGAAAGGCAGCGAGAGCATAGCGCCTACTTCGACGGGATAGCAGCGTAGGTGCGACAGAAACGTCAGGGAACGCGGGGGAGTTAAGCGCGAGAAGCCGCGCGACACTTGCGCGACTTCTCGCGGAGATTCGACTTTCAAATGCGGAAAATCGAATTGATTTGAATCTTTCCGGCGGGAGAGCCTTCCGCGCCATTGTCCACGTAGGAATAAATAACGCGAAATGCCGATGCGCCTCGAGCCTGTGCTTCTCACGGTGAAGTTTCGGAGAGAACAGCGGAGATTGCGAGCAGCTACTACATAAGCCACGACAGGTTCGTGAAAATTTAGAAGCGGGAACTTCATTGCGGGAAGAGGAACGGAGAAGCGATACCAGGGAGGAGAGGAGTAGCCTCACGCAGCTCGATTGCAACGAATATAGGCGAAACTAGGTCGTCCGGAATGTGTAATGAGACGCGGGAGAGGATGAACACGTTCGCGCCGATTGAAAGCTTTCTGCGTGACCTCCGGGGTCTTAGTTGGCTACGCAAAATCGTAATTAACGCTCGCGAACTGTCGCCAATGATTGATATCCGCACGATATTATTCTACTTTCTCCACTTATCGCGTGCGCGCTCTTCATTTTGCTCATTCATTCCTGCTCGTATTAATTTTTGCTTTTATCAATGTCTATATTAAAAATACAACGATGTAACAAGCCAAGTGATAGTTGTGTAATCTTCAAGATAAAAACGCAGATTATATTGTTCAATTGTATTTTGAAATTAATGCAATACTGTGCCGAGATAACCATGTGATGCGAATGAAAACGCTGCGGAAGAAATGGGAACGGTAATCTCTCATTGTATTTCTCACATTTGTCGAAAACGAGAAAATAATTAAGCGCAAATTGTCACAGTCACGCATGTGACTGAAAATTGCGTATGACTGCTGGCAATTATTGTTACGAACGTGCACACAACGTGCTCGGTGTTTTGTTGCATTAATTGGTAACGGCGCGCGGTGGTCTTTGACCACGGCGCGTAAATAAATACGCGCCGCGAACGTCGTTGCGAGTAGAAACGGCAAGTTAAATGATTCCCTGGTGGCAAAAGCGTCACACGTATACACGCCGGCAATCTCCTATATATAAAATGCATAAAAAGAGCAAAACTACGACCTCGCGTCGTTCCGCAGCGGCATTGAACTGCATCCGGTGCATCCACGAAAATGCAGCCACGCCTACAAAGCGTTTTCCTATTTCCTATTTCCGTCTCGCACTTTTTTCCCCGGCTAACATTGCCGCTTATTTTTACCGCGTGGCGCCGCGGGTAATCCGCGATCCGCGATTATTCGTTACATTGTAACCGCGATACTTTATCTCCGGCAACTTACGAAACGGTTTATCTCCGCCGGCCAGATGACCGTCTCGCACCGCACGCCGAGGGTGCTATCGAAGAAACTCCGCTCGGGTGAACTGTGTTCGTGGTGAACTGTGTTTCGTGACCATCAAGCCGAGTCCGGGAATAATCGGAGAGCATCGACATTATCGACTGTTTAAACCGCGTTCGATGTAAATAGCTGGCTGCGAGGGTTTGTCCGCGTTGTGGAAGGTGACCGGCATGCAAGAACAAACGTAGTCCCATCGAAATCAAGAACACCGCCACGCGCGGTGATCTACGAAACATCCGGATAATAACAAGTCGCGAAATTCATACACACACACTATTACACAGGCGTCCAGGCGTATTGCCAGTCGAGCAAACTTCCGCTTAGCGCGCGGACGGTCTTTGTGTGATATAACAATATCCCGTCGGTGTATACCTGGAACGTAATTGAGAAACACGCCGGCAAAATGGCTCACGGCGAGATAACGTCGTGGCATGAATAAGAGTAAAGAAGAAGAAAGAAAGTAGAATCATAAAACGTAGACAATGCAAGGAGCGGGAGCATCGATTTCGCATCAAAGGCCCGGCCGTTCGTAGAAACTAAATATCTTTCGCGTTTATGGCACTTTTACCATATTCGAGCTCGGATCGTTACGTACCGATCCACGTAACGGCCGTGCGATAAAACCGTGCGGCCGTAGGACTGTTTAACGAAATCTTCCCACGTGAACTTTAATGGAATTTTTATTTGACACTGAAACGCGTGTGCAAGATAATGATGGACGATCTCGACTTGATAATTGGAAAGTCGATTTTTTTCCTCGAAAAATCTAGTTTTTTTCAATGAATCTTTTTCTGTCCGATTTTGTGATACAAATCGATTCTTCTAACAGAGAATTGATTTTCGAGCTGTTGATACGTTCAGCAACGTTGTTTTGCTTAATGAAGAATTCACGCTGGAATCAACATTTGATACAATCAGGATATTATTTTGTCCTTTGCGAGACTCTCTGAAAGAAAATAAAATAAAATAAAATTGACTAAAACTGTTACGCAGTAACAGAAGTAATTAGAAACCAGCTGATTGCAATTCTAATTATTCAGCTCGACTTTAGTTACACGTTATTTCGTGTATCCGGACGACAATGTTGTCAAAAGTTGTTATCAAATATGTTATCAAAAATTTTCTCTCAAAAAAGAAACGCCTCCGTTATCAACATAAGATTTGCGTTTCCCTGAAAATCGGTAGATGACGAGAAAACATGCGACTATCCGTGACAAGAAAGAAGAAAAGGGACCAGATAATTTCGAGTTTGTCGAGATAAACCGTCCGACGACGCTAAACATTTGGCATGAACCGACATGAAAGCGGAAACGCAAGCGAAACTGCAGCAAAAGTCGCAATCCTTATGTGATTAGGGCATAATACGCGATTCTGACGGAGAATCAGGTCGTCTATAGAAGCTAATTTACGAAAAGCTCTTTGCCATGGGACAAAGCGGTTGAAATAAAAGGCAAGGACGCGTCCGCTTTTTTCTTCTTCCTCGAGGTGCTTCGCTGTCAGAGCAACGACTTGGAAGAGATAAAAGTTGGTTCGCCTTTTATACCAGCGGAGGCAACTGCATTCGCACCTTTTTAGCACAGCGCATTATGCCTGTCATAATGATACAGCGCGCTCGAGACACACTTCACAACTTGCCGGTATCAGCGGTGAATTTCTTTCACTCTCTCCCCACCACCCCCCCCCTAGTCCCCGAGCTTATTTGTCCCGCATTTCGCATAACGGTACAATGACAAGTGTCACCAGGACTGTGTCACTAAAACTGGCGACGATCTTCATTAATCCCAGAGTAGAAATTGCAGATTGAATTGACAGTGAAAAGGAGAGGAGTTATGTGCTAATTGTGATTAATTCAGCACGAGGCAAATGGTGCGTGACATGTGTATTGTCCTGAAAAAGTGTGTCTAAATTTAAAAAGTAGGGCGATTCTCTGGAAAGTCGCGATACCATGCAAAGGCTGAATATCGGGACGATCTCTCGAAATATAATTTTACCGGAATATTGAAATTTTCTCGTCATACAGAGAGAGATGAGTGCATTAATATTCATTTGATCACAGCAGGAGTGTACTCTCAAATGGATGGATATTAACATATCTGTGTGTAATGTTTTCGGGATAATAGTCCCTCGGATTAACAGTTGTTTGTATAGTTCGTGTTGTAAATTGTATTTCAGAATATTGCCTCGATATTGGGATTTCAGTGTCATGACATGATTTCGGGAAATTGCCCCAATTTCCGAAATTTTGACTTTTCAGGTCAGGTGCGTGTTTGCTCCCCAAACAGCGGCGAATGCGATTAAATATTGCAATGATAATAACAAAAGGACACCTATTAATTAATAGTGTTGAGCAAGAATGCTTTAAGCAAGTTCCTTCCTAAATTATGAGGTGAGCTTCATGAATTATGAGAAAATGTACGTAATTTATGAAGATTACTTTAAAGATGCAGCCTGGAATTTCAATAAACTTTGCAAGTTCTGCATCGAATCTGCAGTCCTCACCGCGAATTCTCGGAGCATTAATTGCCGATTCAAAGTTTGTGCTCGCACGCTGAATCCCCCTGAATTGGCTCGAGAAGTTAAATCGGAAGACACGTATCAGTTCTTGTCTCTCATTTCTGCCGTCGAGAGCTCGGCCCGTTTCTGCAAAGTAGAGCAACATCCCGTGCCCGGTAAATCCATCTCCGCGCGAACGAAACAATGCAAAAGTCTCGCCGCCCTTCTCCATTTGCGAGCTTCATCGTAAGAGACTCGCACTCTCCCGACCAACCGCCGTGCATAAATCCCGAAAGCGCGTGCATTCGCCTCAACCGCAGAAACTGCGCTTTGCCGCGAGACAAAGGCGTTTCCTTCGCGTCCTATTTTTTTCCGGTCCAGGCATCCGAATCGTGGAGGCGAGCATCTTGCTCGCCTCCATTTATCTCGAAAGGAAAATGCAGTTTCTTCCCGCCCTTCCGCTGCCCTCCCCTTTCGTCAACGACAAAACCTTCGCATCCCCTCGCAATGCTCGGAATGATTACGATAGTGATAGTGGCGCTTCCCGACTTTCTTGTACTTTCAACTGTCACTTACTCCTGGAATTTACATACGGAGCATAATATTTACGTAATACTGGTTGTCTTTTCGTCGCAATTTGTTCGATCATTGCGAAAGATACACTTCCTGTCGCATTTGACATTTTTATTTGTTGTTTCCGATGATATAAAAAGGACATCACAGTCATGTCAATGAAAAATGCTACACAGATGTATAAAACATTTCATTTAAAGAGTAAATAACATACGTATAACAAGTACGAAATTAAAATATAACAATTTTCAAAACTGACAACTGATACACGTATGCGGGAGTCGCAGTAGTAATACATAATAAAACAATAGCAGTGAAAATTACTAAATTAAATTAAATGGGCAAATAAGAAAAGAGCATAGAATGTACAGTCCGTCAAAATATAACATATTCTCTACATAAAATGAGCAAAATAACTGCAGCTAAAACACTTCAATCAGACAATTGTAATTATTTTTAGTTTTAGTTATATAAAGTCAAAAATGTCATCTTTTCAGAAAATATATCTTCTAGTTCGTGTGAATTTTAGTAGTAACATAGTTCCAAATAAAGTCTTCTTTGAATTTTCTTAGTTAATTTATCACATGACTCTTTTACCTAGATTGGTTTTTGTACTTATCCTACGAGTAAAACCCTACGTATAAAAAAGTAGTAAACTACATTTTTCATCACGCTCTCTTAACCAAGTAAACCTTAACAGGAAACAGGACATTGAGGTAAAAGGTTAAAAAGGTAAACCTTAAAGTATCGTAAACCAAGTTTGCCTTCCTCACTTCCATCATGGTTTTCAGAAAAAATAGCATTTTAAAATAGGACACCCTGTACCTATGTTCATCTCTATGTACAAACTTTGTCACTTGGAATTTCGTCGCGCGAAATGCTGTACATATATAAGATATAAACGTTAAAATTTCGCGCAATCCTTCTTCAAATGTGCTCGCAAGATCTTCCCGCTCGGGTTCTTCGGGATATCCGTGACGAATGTGACTCCGCCTAAAAGAAGAAGAAACGTACGTATGCAATCTTCCAGTTCTTTCTAATTGCCCGGTTCTTGTGGACCTCTACATCCTTAGACCTCTACATCTAATTCGACCGACTTACCTAACAATTAACGCTATTGTCCCCTTTTCCCCCCTCACTCCACGATACTTATCTGGTGTCATGCCCTAAGTGAGCATGACGAATTACCATTAATTAATATATATTAATTATATTGGCGGAAGTGCCATGCGAAGCACGTCCGCCTGTGCCGCACGTGCTGCTAGCTAAGTATCACGCCACACAGTGAAAATTCCAAATGTCCCAAAGAAACAACAGGCAAATAATGCACTGTCTGCATGGACAAAGGTCGCAAGTGACGCAAGTGGTGTTTCCGCAAAACTTGCAGATTCCTTCGGCGATGAACTTCGATAAATCGACTGCCATCGCCGAAGGAACGTTCAGAGCTTAACACACACCGGCCGACCGAACCGGACGCACATCTATCTCTAAGACTACATCTGTAGCGCGCTAGTCAAGTCAATAGGACTCCTTTCTTCAATAAAAACCAAGTTTTTATTGAAACCGCCTCGATAAACCGCCACCACTGTCTCGTTGAACGATCCCATAACACTGGATACTCGAATAATAAACTCTCTAAAGGCGACGAAGTCTTGTCGCTTTGATAATTAAATGTCGTATTAAATGACAATTAGAAATTCCACGCAGCGACTGTCGAAATCGAGTTATACCTTTGAGTTCCTTGTAGTCGGAGACCTTTCCTTTTACAAAGTTCTGAATGTCCTGCTCGGTGGGTTTCTTATCCTTGCTGATAACTATGAACGCTTTCGGTACCTCGCCGTATCTCTCGTGCGGAATACCAACCACTGCCGCCTCCTGCACATCCGGGTGCGACCGCAGTAGCGCTTCCAGCTCCGCCGGTGGTACCTTCAAACAGACACAAGATAACATTTTGAAAAAGGACGAATGAGGACGATGAACGCGATTCTTAAACGCCAGCGGATGAAGTAAACCACCGTGAAGGCCACCGCGAAGCTTCGAAGCTGTGACGGTGCTTTGGAGGGACCGTTGTGTACAAAATGGATTGTAGAAAAATATCAAATAAGATCCTAGCCTCCTGTTCGAGGTGTTCTAAGGTGTCGAAAGTGCAGGTTTGACGATGCAGCAATAATCGAGAGAATTTTTGGAATATTTTGAATATTTTGAATGTCATTCAATGTCAGAGCCGTCACTCGTACAAAGCATTGACTTTTCCTTTCCTCTTGTTTTCAGAAAGAAATTCTTACCTGGAATCCTTTAACTTTGATGAGCTCCTTCAACCTGTCCGTAATATAAAAATCGTAATCCTCATCGTAGTAAGCGATATCGCCGGTCTTCAGCCACTTGTCCTCGGTTAAAGTTTCCTTCGTGGCAACTTCGTTATTCAGATATCCTTTCATAACGTGAGGTCCTCGTATCCATAATTCGCCGGTTTGACCAGGGCCGCTGACATCCCGCTGAGTAGTCACATCTACCAAGCGCGCTTCACAATTCGCTACATTTCTCCCGATGCTGGAGAATTTCTTTAATGTACTTTCAGTGAAAGCCACTGGCGAAGATTCTGTCAGCCCGTAGCCTTGAAAAATTATTACGAGGTTTCTATCAGTATCGTTATATTATTGTCAGTATTATTTAATAAATACGAAGAGATTCGTAGAATCGAAATATAAACAATGATTACAAAACTGAATGTAATCGTGAACCGTTCAACGACGACGAAACAAAAAATATCCGATTTCATGCGTGTTTTACATGCATAGGGAAAACGTCAAAATTTATATCCTCGCTGCGAAAACAATTCCGCCGAATAAAAGTTTTACGCGTGTGTGCTCGCACGAAAGCCATTTTGGGCAGAAATCGAATAAATGGATCCTGGCGGTTAATACCGACATTTTTACAAACCAACACTGTTTTGCGAACTCGAGAGCGCATCAGGACGCAATATCAATTGGAATAGAAGTAAAATTTAATACGACCCCGTTCTCGGTACGCGGGGCTTTATTCCAAAAGCGCGACCGACTCGTCGTGGGATCTCGTTAAAAATTGAACGTACACACTCTGCCCGCTCACGAAGCCCACAGATGCAAAACTCGCTCCCACCTGCCTCCCTACTGCACTCTTTCGATCGACACTCCGGCGTTTCAACCTGCCGGGCGAAAAAAAAAAAAGAAGAGCGTATCCAGGCCTTCAAAGCTTGCGTGCGTCGGAACGCAATCCCGAAACTCGATCCGCGAAACTCGATAAACGTCTCGCTGCGTTCGTACTGCGAATTTCGCGTCGGCCTGCGCGCAATTTCACGATCACTCACCTTGACCGAATTTTAAGTCTCTGTCGAACTTGAACTTGTCGTAGAATTTGTCGACGTCCGACTGGGCGAGCGGCGCGGCGCCGCTGAAAATTTTGTCGACACTCTCCAAGTGGTGGTTCTTCATGAAGGGGGAAGTCGCCATGAAGAGTATCAGCGGTGGTACGCAGTACAGGACAGTCGCCTGAAAAATATGTGTTATTCATCGTGAGCTTGGCGCGCGTTAAATACTCTCAGCGTGCGTGAAATTTCAGAAATCATAATCTTCATCGGATGATTACATAAGTTGAGATTTTTTTCTCCCCTTTTTTTCTTATTTTGTATTAATACATCCTTGTTGCATCAATACTTGTTGCATTAATACATCCTGGTCAGGCTTGACATTTTGACGCTCGGAACACACTGCGCTCTCTTTGATGGCTCCTCGGGATATCTAAAAGTGAAATTTACTTGCACTTGCAAACTCTTATTCACCTTGGTCTTTTCCAATACGCTCAGATATATCTCCGGTACGAATTTCGGGATGGTAACGAATTTTCTGCCCTTACTAAGACCGGGAAGTAACATGCCATTTAATCCGTAAATATGGAAAAATGGCAGTACCGCAGGTATCACATCTTGAAATGTATCTAAAAAACGATAAATAAGGAAAAGAAAAACAAAAGAGACAGAAGAGTAGTGACTTACTCATGGCAAATTTATGAAATCATCGCTAGTCGATCAGGAAGAGGGAGAGGGAGAGGGAGAGAGAGAGAGAGAGAGAGAGAGAGAGACAGAGCGATTGGAAATCAAAAGTAGAAATTATAACAATCCATTGAGTAACAGCAAAGTACCAGTGGTAGGAAGAAATTTGTTATCTCCTAAAGAGTACTCGCACATATTGATATTAGACACCAAATTTCTATGCGTTAACATAACACCCTTCGGTAATCCAGTGGTGCCGCTTGAAAATGGCAGCACTGCCACATCGTCTATCGAGCATCTGCTCGGATTTGTATCCGGCAGCGATTTACCTCGCGTTATGAGATCCTGAAAAATTATATATTGCATATATACACGTACATTAATTAATGGCGGTTAACAGTTCATGTACGTATATATGCTTGGCCTCTAGGGCCAAATTACTCTTTAGCGACTTTGCACTTGTTTACCCGCGCGCGGTTAAATATTATTTAACATTTTTTCTCCGATACTAACATCGAAAAGTATACAACCCTCTGGTATTGGTTTCGTGCGATCGTCGATCACGATGATAGGCGTTTGAGGTGGAAGACAAGCGTTTGCCGCGGTGAGCACCATAGATGCGATCGCGGTCGAGGTGATAATCGCTTTCGCATTGGATTCCGTCAGCTGCCTCGAGATCTCGTCTGGAAGCGTCGAAAGTTCACGTACTCGCGTCAAATTTCATCACGTACTCGCACACGCAGCGTGACGATATACGCCGCGCGATAACTGTCTTTATCTTATTTTCGAATATCTTCATCGACAATGATTCATACATATCTCATCGAGAATATCTCCAAGTTAATGAAATGGACGTTGCGAAGTGATTTACCGGCCATATACTGCGGATTCATAGTGGTGCAGATAAGTCCGGCCGACAAGATTCCGAGGAAACCTAAAGCTGAGTCCGGCAGATTCGGTGTCACCAGCGCCACCACGTCGCCCTTCTTCAGGCCGAGGTTCTGTAAGCTCCTGCCGATATAATTCGTCGCGTCCTTGGCTTGCGCGTACGTGTACTTCTTGCCGGTCACACCGCACTCCTAGATTATACGATCGACATAAAAACTCACAACTCACTTTCTGCAATCGCATTACGCATTGCATTACGTTGGAACGAGAAGGCAGCGGAAAAGAGACCCGGGTCAACTAATCCGACATGTTTCACGCGCACGAGTGTGCACACACTTTTCCCGACTTTCCCGGTGTCGCATGGAAATGGGACTTGTCAGATGACCGATCTATAATCCGTTTGCGCACAAGTTTGCGCAAAAGTGATGATCTATCGAGTAATCGGAATTACCAGTGCTATTTTATCCGTATAATCCTCGGCCTTGTTCCAAACGTACTCGTGGAGCAACATGTCGGACAAACAAGGAAGATCACCGTACGGTGACTTGATGATCTTCTCGTTGTTCGGTCCCTTCACGATCCTGCTCTGGGCTAAGGTCGATGCACGCCTTAGCGCGGGGTTCAACGTCCTTATCCCGCTGTTCGTGATAATTCTGCCCAGCCTCCACATACCGTGAAACGCATTTGTCACCATACTTGGACGCTACTAATTCATCAACGCGCTATTGTACGAATCGAAATCTGCAAATGCAATAATGTGTAATTAATGTGCGAGTACAGATAAAAGATGCGCGTGCCATAGACATGAAAATAGACCGCAGACTGGCAGAGAGGCGACTTTGCGGGCGCATTGCAAATTACATTTTCAATTGTGTATGTGTTGGTCGTATAATAATATAATGATAATGCACAAAGATTTGATACCGCGCGAAAATACCGGTTTTGGTCACGCGCTATTAACACGTTGAATATTGTGCGCGGCACCTGTGAGATTACCGCAACTCATTAAGTTATATTCGTTGCATATAAAGTGCAAAAAATTGCGTTTTTGTAAAGCGCAATAAATTGCGTTTTCGAAAGGTTGAATACCAATACGACCAATCGGGACTCAGTAAAACAGGATAAAAAGTATGCATATGCCAAAGAGCGTTTTGTATCTTTGATAAAATTCAATGATTGGAAGTTAAACTCTTACTGTGTACACACACACACACACACACACAATCCACGGCGATCGACGCGACGCGACGGTTGACGCATTTAATTGTAGCTGCTCGAAATATATTTCGTTTATAATATCAATTGACCACAATGTAGCGGCGCGCTTGTGCGTGAACGAGACAATGCCGATATCACAAACAATGCGTCGAGAAGCGTCCTGTATATAAACTGATCGTACTCTTTAATGAAATCGGTCCTCTCGCTCGACGCGACGATTTCTTTTCTCTTATTGTCTTCTTTTATGCCCGATGGAAACGCACGGTTCGCTTAGAGAGAACGTTTTGCACGTTAATGTACGTAAATCCGACACGATCCATGAATATTTAAAACATCTTTATTTTTGCTTTTTGCGTTCATCGTCATTTTGTCAATCATTTTGTTACGTTTCTGAATTCAAATTGGCCACTTATGACCTTTCGTCATGATATAAATAAGTATAAATGCCTCTTTATTGAAATATAATTATAATTCGCACAGGTACCACTACTGTGTGCTGATTATTACATAAATGTTACATAATCAGACTTCAAACTCCTTCTTTTTACCCTAGCGAAAAAACCACAAATATATTTCTCTCTACCAGCGTGACATGTGATTAATGAGTGATAATATGTGAAATTGACCGATCTTCTTTTCGCTGCTCCTCACGAGCCGGAAAATAGTTATCGCATGAAATCTGTTCATCAAGCGAAACGCTCACAGATTTGAATGCAGAAAATTGACTCGAATTAGATGCGACTTTTCTACAGTCTATCTTGTTACATCGCGATTACAAGCATAATGTCGCACATATCAAATGATTCAACGAAGAATGTCGAAATCCAGCTTCGAAGGAGTGAAATCTGAGCGTCTCGCGTGAGATGACTTCCAAGCATCGACTATCGATACGGGCCTAGATGCATAAGAATTGACAGTCGAATATAATTTCCTCCCTGAAAATACTATTGAGATTCTTCCAACCGGGAATCGCGAAAAGCGTCGTACCTGATTGCAATACAGTCCGCATATGATACACTTTATTAGGAGATCACGTACGACATGCCGAGCAGATATTCGCAATTGGAATGTGTCGCGATCTTTGATTCCTATCGTTGTTGCTATCGCGATAATCCGTTATAAAGAGCTCGTTTATTCGCAAACTTAAGTTAAGGTCATTTTCCAACTATACTCAATGAATTTTGTCGCTGCCGTCGCTGGAATCGACTTGACACGTCGAACATTACGGGCATCGATGTCAAGGGTACGCGTTCCACACCGACAACTCGATGTTAATTGGGAAGCGGGCCGCTTACTAGCTCGAGATACGCTGATTCATATTCGCATGTGGCAAATATATATGCAAATGATGCGCGGCGGGAATAACAAATGTTAATTGCGACTCGGCGTGATTCGAGATCAACGGTTCAGTGTGCGCTCAAAACGGCATGTTTTCGTCATGATGTTAGGTGTAGGTGATGCCACACAATGATGTCGAGTGTATTTACCGATTCTGATGCGCATAATACTTTTTTGCTGGGTATTGCTATGTTATCGTTCACGATACGACGCAAGCAGCCCAGGTTCGCATAATCAAACGATAACAATTTTCTCATTCATTGGAAACGAATTGAGTATAATGATATGACGCGCGAAAGCGTATGGCACAGATGTGCGATATATATTATCGACTTTTTTCCGCGGCACACGAAATACGCGCGTAAAAAAATTCGTTTATTTTTTTGTTTAGTCACCACGTCGAATAATGTCAATTCAGCGTGACACAGAAGTTCACAGAATTTCCTTTTGAATTAAGCATAATGTAGACCTAGAGTTGATTTAGAATTTATTAATGAATTAATAATGAATCGCATAAATAAAGAAGACAATATGCAATTAAGCTTGTCCAAGGTTCGACTTTTTATCGTAAGAACGTACAGAGTTTTTATTTTAGATCGATAGCAGTTTATGACACATAAAATATCGTTTCCGTGATGATTCAGCGAAACAACGTTTTCCAAAAAGATCACATCATTAAATTAACAAGCGGGCGAGTTTGCGTATCATAGATAATCCACTCGGATATTCCATGCTGCATCAGAGATAGGGATCAGAGTCGATGGCTTCAATTATATTGAAGTTAGATCATTGAGCTTGGGAATTATTGAGTGTCGCCTGCGACAAGCGCAGCGTCAAATTGACATGACCCGACACGTTTCGAATAATTGGAATACACAGCGTCTCGCATCAATCTCTTGTTTATTGCAATTCCCCTCGACGTGGCTTAATCATTCAGATAGCGACAAATATCGCTGATGTGATGCAGCATAATCTGCGTGCTCCTATTTCGAACGAGGAAACTGTAAACAGATTGCGTGTACACGCCGGTGCGATATATGAAATCGCCTTCGCTGTTGCTTTTTCACCGGACAAGAGCCCGGAAAGATCTTTTTCCGAAGAAAGAAGACCTATTAGTAAGAATGAAAATCATTAGATCAACTAGCGGGCGATTAACAATTTGCGTATGCATAGATAATCCACTCCGATATTCCATGCTGCATCAGAGATAGAGATCAGAGTCGAGAAAAAATTCTCACGGATCTCGAAAATCTGTGTCGTGTGACGATGTACCGAAACCGTTAATTATATTATCAAAGCGTTTCCTCATGTGTTTTTGCTCTGTCGCGCCTTTTCTAACAAATGCAACGCCGAGAACATCGTGTTCTTTTTCACGCTTCGAAACGTGTGTTTTAATTCCAAACGTCGTTTGGAATTAAAAGTAGTCGTGTCACGTAACGACGTAAAAGACGTTTGTCTTGCTTATCACTGTTGTTGTTAACGAATGCATATTGCATTATTCATTAGCATGCATCGTGTTTATAGTGGATGTAAATCTCGCACTTATATAAGTATCCACAAATGAAAGACGATTATTTGTTATGATTGCACTTAATAATAATTGCTGTGAGTAACATAGACATGACAATACAAGCGAGTCTCTGATCTTATAGCCGACGCGAGTTATCGGACACTAAACAAATCTGCATCTTTACAACACGCTGCTACAAATGTTCTGATAACGTGACAGCCGAGGAGAAAGTACTATTTAGGAATTAGGAAGTTGAAATTATCTTTAATAATAAGTGGTTGCGCAGAAAATGCGTTATATTTCTGCAAGAGATATCTCTGTGCATAGCAATTTCTTTTAATGGCCCTCTTATCATCGCAAAATGATAAAGTCAGAACTCGTTGCACATGCTGCGACACATGTGCAGCGTCGTCCACACATGCAACGAAATCGTCAAATTTCGAAAGCCTCCTGTCAAATTCGAATAATATTTTTCGTACACGAAACAACGACCTGTCTATAAATCGCCCTACGCCATTTCACCCACGTGTGCATGCGTGCGCTTGATCTAAATATAGATGCTCCAAATTCAAGTTCATTACCCTCCTCACATTTACTCATTAGCACAGAAGACGTCGACTTTCACTTTAAACAGTGTTAAATTTACGCGGACGAATTTATTTAACGATTTTTATCTTGAGCATCTCCTTGAGCATTCTTCAGCCTAAGTTAGTATCCCCGAACAATGCTCTTGAATTAGTTGACATTCCGACAATGCGTTTAAAGCTGACGCATCACGCATAACGTTGTAAACATTCCCAAGTGGGAAACATTTTTACGCAGGTAAACAGAATCCAAACCTTCGATTGGCTTGGTCTTTGTTCTCTCTCTCTCTCTCTCTCTCTCTCTGTGTGTGTGTGTGTGTGTGTGTGTGTACCTCTTTCTCTCTCTTTCTCCCCCCTCTCTGTCACTCTCTCAAGACGTAGATCCACTGTAGTTTCCACGATCGTTAAAGCACTATCTCATCTTGGGTATTACATATAGCCTGAAGGTCGTCGGCGAGTCGGAATGCAGTCGGAAAACGCGTCAGAGCGCTGCAACAACTTTCCCACTTTCTCACGCGACCCGGTCGTAATCTCGATGTAATTTCACGAGAAATGAATGCTCACCGGCTGGATCGCTGTTCGCAATCGGTGACACCGATGCCGACTGTACCGTTTTCGTCGACGGACTGAGTTTCCTCAGCAAAGCGTGTTCACTTCTAGCTCAATGTAGATATTGCTCCCGGCTCCCCACCATCGGGGTTTATCATGCTGGGTAGGCTTGGCAGGTTAGCAAGTTGACAAGATGAGTTGGAAGAAACGAAACGCCGCGGTTGGACGCGAGAATTCGTTGGACTTGGGAATTTGGCGTTTCTAACGAGTGGAGTGAAGCTCAGAGGAGAAAACTCAAAATCTATGCTACTATACTTGGCGTATATCTCGATTTTTATGTAGCAACCTTACATTGTATGTGTGTGTGTGTGTGTGATCATAACCTTCGTTATTTAGAAATTATGATATGCAAAAGTTGTAAGCTCATAAGTTGATATCTTTTGGACGAGTAGTTTAACAGTGTACTCTAGCGACTTGATATCAGATTACTCGACGGGAGTCGAAAGTCCAGTTTATACATGATACTATCATTCCTGCTTGAAATATCTGTGCCTCCTTTTTTAAGCTACTTTTTTAATCTACTATAAATACAGTTGTGTGTTAGTAAAAGTTTAGAACGAGCTTAGAGAGTTTATATTACACTATTGTATACAAGCACTGTAAAATGAGAAGCACTGTAAAAATAAAATCTAAATCTTTAAATAACGGCTCTGACTGTCGAAACTATCTTGGTGTAGCTTTCTTCTAATAAAAATTCTAACAGGATTACCTACTTGCGATATGATCAGCGTATGTTTAAATTTCTTCCTTTGCTACTAGCTCTGCGAGCATTATTGGATCTTGGCGATACTTTAGAACGATGAGCGATGCATTAGTACTCGTCATTCTCTGAAAATTATAAAAATATATGTTTGTCTTGAGTCACAATTACGTAAGAAGGAAAAGTAACACAAACATTGCGCCGAGTAAATTTTCTGGTACAATGATCTTATACCAGAGTTCAATATCACTGACTGCGTTCAATTACGTTGACTGAAATCGTAATAAATAAGATATTATTGATCGGAGAAAAACAAGAATCTTATGTAATATATACGTAACGCATTCTGTCTTTGAGGACTATGTGGCAGCCTCGGCTAATGTTTCTCTGTATAAAAGATGCATTTCAAAATCACACTTATAAAAGACTCAAGTCCTTCCTTAGTGCAAATTTTGCACTGAACGAACGAAAAATAAACGCGACCTTTATGCCATTAAATTACGCGAACTACGAAGCTAAAGCTGACGTTGTATAGGAAAATTTTTTTAACGCACGATATGCACACACAGTCTGCGGTTGTTTTTGTCAATACACATAATTGTAGTTATAAAAACTATATATCTTTGCTTCGTTTCCGTTGCTCGTTATTTTTCATAGCGTGTTATTTATATAATACTAAAGGTATAACGATATTTCTATGTTAATGCAAGAATAATTTAACGTATATTTTATGTATGCGTTTTTTACAATCGATATCCCCAATGCTATGAATGTTTGCATATTCATATTTACGTCATCGTATATATAGTAGCAAAAGGAAATGATAAAGACTACAAAATACTTGTACTATGTGCTCACCTATTTTATTGTAATTTTATTATACTTTTATTATAACATCATTCTAGCCATTTTTTTTACATTTTAATAATTTTTAACATTTCGTCAGACATATATAATTTGTTTCCTTTACTTTTTTTTTTTTTTACCAGACGAAGAAATCCTGATGTAGAATTAATAGTGCCAAAAACTGACATTAGCAGTTTGTATCTTGACCGATTATTTACAATCGTATTAAATATGTGATATCTCTCATAACGTGGTTATCTCATGTTGTAAAATATAACGGAGAAGATATTTTCAAACATCGAGCAGACATAAGCGTGATGTCAACAAAGCATGTGAAACAACATTTGATGTATATAATATATCGTCGAAAATCTAAATTCACTATTTGAGCAACACAGTTGGGAAATAATTTTTGTTAATGATATTTTTTTACCTCTAAGAAACTATGAATTAATAAAGATTGAGGAATATGACTTATATCTCGAAGTTTACTTTGCAAATATTTCTCTTTTTATCTGTGTTAACAGGACCAGCCTAAATAAAATTGGTTTAAGTAAAAGTATTAGTATTTATAATTACACGGGAAAAAGATGTATGAAATTATGATACATCACTTGTTTCTTATCTCTAGTAAATATTATGATTCAATATATTAGCCCATCTCCTCTTTATTTATATGTTCAGCCATTCATTTAAATATTTAACACATTAACCTACATACCTACTTACATATTTCCGACAAGGAAAAGTACTTGCACCATTGTGTCGTAATGTAGAAAAATAAGTACATTAGTGTTATATTCTTAAAGTATCTTAGTCTATTTTAAGTATATCTCTCTTATAAATAATATATTTATAAATAATATACATATATATTTATATATACATATATATACATATATATACATATATATACATATATATACATATAATAATATATTTATAAATAATATACATATACGCTTGCAATCGTATATTTTACGATTATACTATTCTTAATGACTCATTCGATTATGTAACCATAATTGAGCGATAAGGTTGATCTATATATTGGGTGTGTGAATATGACTCCGCCCTTTTTTGTTAAAATAAAACACATTTGCTTGTTTAGAAAATTAAGGAAAAGTTTATTGAAAGTATACTCCATCTGCAGCTACAACCTTCGCCCATCTTTCAGGTAATTTATGTATTCCTTGCCTGAAGAAGTCCTGGTCTTTTCAGATGATCCAATTATCAAGCCAAATTTTGATACTTTCGTATGAAGTGAACCGTTCTTCCGTAAGATCTGACTGCATCGTCCGGAATAAGTAGTAATCTGAAGGAGCTATGTCTGGCGAATATGGCGGGTGAAGTAGCACTTCCCAGTCCTGTCCATCTAAATATCTTTTCACGTCTTCTGCGGTATGCGGTTTGCCATTATCATGCTGAAGAATTAATTTGCTGTGCCTATTCACCTATTCTGGCCGTTTTTCTTCTATGGCTCGCTTCAAACGCATTAGTTGTCGTCGATAAACTTCTTCTTTAATAGTTTGGCAACAATCCTCTGTCAATAATGCTTCCAATTCAGCATCTTCAAAATTTTTTGGTGGTTTCCCATGTTCTCTGTCCTCAGTTCCAAAATCATTATTTCGAAATCTTCGAAACCATTCCTTACAAGTTGTATTAGATGGAGCATGATCACCGTAAATCTCCACAAGCAAACGATAAGTTTCCGCTGCGCTTTTCTTTGCAATAAAATAGTGTAATAATACTTCCCGCAAATGATGTTTGTTTGGAACGAAAACCGACATTTCCAAGTAGGGTAAAACACTTGTTGCTTACACTTAAACCAAATTTCACGTAGTGCGTTTGAAAGTTGACATGAAGTACTATCGAATACAAGTGTTGCCAGTTATTAGTGCACGTTAACAATACTAAAAGCAAGCAACATCTGTTGGGAAAGGGCGGAGTCATATTCATACCCAATACGTAACGAGCGGAAAAATGTTCAAATGTTGGACAATTGTTTATTGTTACTTTACTTATGCTAACCGTGCCGCTCTATGAATATTTGTTTTATTTTGTAATAAGAACAGATTTAAATAAAACAGATTGTAATAAGGACAGATTTAGATAAAATTAATAGACTTTATATTATTTTATAGATCATTAACGCCAGAATAATCAAAGCTGTCAGAGTGACCGCTTAATGAATTCTTTTATAAAAATTATAGATTCTCTGTATAAGAATTTTATTATACAATTTATATTTTTAATTTCATAAATTCTAATCTTCTATAAGAACTTAAGATTTCTATTTTGTGTTTCTCATGAAAATTACTTGAATTTATACGATGATATATCGTATATTTTTCACAGATGTTAAAAAGATATAGAGCTAAAGAAATAAATAAACATTTTTGCTTTTACATAATGTATTTTTTTTTTTTCCAGGAACTTGTCGTTTCGATCGCTCTGGTAGAAGTATTCACATCGTTAATCGTCGGCAGTCTTAATGTTAACGAGCAGAAATTAAGCATGTAAGTATTTAAAGATATTTTTATGGTAGAATATAAATATTTAAAGATATTTTTATGATGCAATGTAATCTCTCCGAAGACATGAGTACGTGTGTATAAGAAACGTCCCATTCTCTTGTTATCTAGCAGTCCTGTTGAAAATATCGAGAAGCGGTTGCCGTCATTATATACGTACTTGCTATCATTAATAAGAAAGCACTGTTTCACTGTTTAATCAGCCTTTTATTCAAAACACCGCGAGAGCTGTACATGGCAAATTCCAAGGCGACTAAAAAAGCAGTGTCACAAAAGTACGTTATTAAAAGACTCATTGTAGCGTTTGTCGCGTCCTTCGTAAAGCCGCCAGTTTTACAATTCCTGCGCGTTAGAGTCAATTCATGCTGGCTGAAACGCCAATGCGTCGGCGCATCTTCATCGACGCTGACGCCGACGCTGATGACGCTTGCCAGGGCAGGGACGTCTCGTGAGGTCAGCGACGATAGCAACGTGCGAAATGTATCGAAATTTTCGAGAGATTGCACAGCGTAAATATCAAGCACAAGTGCTTTATTCCGTGCCAATTTCTCGTGCAAAATTCGACTAGTTACAAATCTAACAACAGCGGAACGACAGCGATCTTAAAAGATCACGTGCTCGCGCTGTACTTCACTAAAATCTCAACGTAGAACCTTCGTCGGTTTATACCACTTATAAACGATCTTTTTTTTTTTTACGTTTTCCAGATCGCTGGCGTAATTTGCAAAACTACCTCGGCAAACGCTCCTCGGGAGCCACTGAAAATTGTTTATCTTGTAAATAACACGAATGCGTTTCAAAGTTTCCCTTCCTCGTCAACTTTGAACGAGCATCCCCTCGAATTTCAAACGCGCGAATTCGCAGTTATATTCAATGGCACTCGATTACCGGACCTCGACAAATTTCTCACGCTATTGCTTTTCCCGTAAAAAGAGAGAAAAAGAAGAGAAAAAACGGGAAACCAACGACACAGTCAGCAAACGCAATCAGACTCACCAAAGGCAACGAAAGCCGGCACTGTACGCGACATCCCTGTATTCGCTTGAAACCTGCGCCCGAGGGTGACGCCATGTCGACGTGGACCCTGCAGTGCTCGCCCGTTGCAACCCACGTACACCCTCGACGAACGGTGACTCGCAGGAAGGAACGATCGCCACGAGGAAACGCGCTGGGCCACCCCCGAAGCTCGTAATCGTCGCACCGGATCACTCTCGCACGGAGCATTTGGGCTATGAATGAAGACCCAACCCTTTCACCTCGAGGTAATTAACATCCCTCATAACGACGTAGTGGTACTCGCGTACTCGTATTCGCTCGATGTGCCCTCCGGACCCGTCCGAAGTCCCGGCGAACTTTCGCGTCGCTCGCGCGAAAAAGGGCCGCGCGTCGCGCGCGGAACGACAGGCAACGCGAGCGCGTGATTAAGGATAGTTCAAGAGGATATTATTAATGTGCGTGAGCGGGCCGACGACGACGTTTTTATCGATTGTATTACTTATGCATGTGCGCTCGAGAAGGAGCACCGCTCGTCGCTTGTACACATTGTTGCGGCGCGTTAAGATTGGCCCGTCGTGCGTCACTTTGACGTTTGCCATTTACCCCCGTCGTCGTTGCGTGTCATAATGCGGCTCTAATTAAAGCCCGATGTTGTTCTGTCACGTGAGGGGGCTTAGACTGCCACTTTCTCTTATCGAATCGTACGAAAGCCCATGAATGCCCGTGAATGCGGAAAGCAAACACGAGGCACGTCATTCCTCTGTTCTGCTCTGTTCTCTTCCTGCGAAATGTTTGTTTATCTTCACGCCACTGATGACCGATGTATCAAGACTCTGTGACGAGGAAGGTTAAAATGATTCTGCTCTGAGTGTATTTTTGTAAGCACGCATAAAGATATACTGATATCGCGTTATCTTCAGGTTCTGGCAGTGCTGCTCTTATCTGTCATTCCATGGCCGGGTCCCAGCGTCTTTAAGATATCATGCCCGCGCGACCGAGCGTCTGTAGTGAGGAGGATAGTTCACAAGGTGAGAAAAAGACCGATGAATCAATTCAATGTCCACTGATAAGATGATTATTCGCCAAGACTCTGATATTCAAGATACGATGATAGAATTCTATCATCGAAGGATTAGAAGTCGTAGCTTGAAGAAGACAAATAAAATGTGAACGCGTCGTGTACTTTCCTCGATCTTTATTTGCAAGTATCGCACAGCAAATTCTAATAATGTTCTTCAGCAATAATCCTTAAACTCGTGAAGAGTTTGCTTTCTACTGCAGAACTTATATATACGCAGCCGGCTCAGCAATAGAAAGCAAGCCTTAGGCGACACTCGTCTAATTCGTTGAACAAGTAAAACCTGGAAAAGATAAAAGAGACGGACTAACGAGAGAGAGAGAGAGAGAGAGAGAGAGAGAGAGAGAGAGAGAGAGAGAGAGAGAGAGAGAGAGAGGCAACATCTTAAGCTCCGTCGAAATTTCAGAGATGGATTCCAATACTGAAGAAGTATCAGGTAGAGTTGCCGTTGGAATGCCCATTTCACGAAAGCCGAGACATTTTCCGACCGCAGCAGAAAGCGAAGCACCAACACAGGCCGTCACAATGGACCTGCGGCCTCTGCGGCAAGTCCTTTTACGCGGAGAGACATCTGGACGTCCATTTCGATAACAGACACAAAAGTAACGTGAACACGGTAGGCGCTAGAGAAAAAGAAACAGCACCAAAGCCAGCGAAATATCATGACGGACCCTGTCCGACTGTCCCCCTTTCATCTCCTCTTTCTCTATCCCTCACGAAGGCGGAGGACGCAGTTTGCCTGGCAGACTACTGCGACATCATGCGCTGCGACGTGCTGGGCAATCGTGACTTCGACAACTCGGTGGACGACGACGACGGCCACCTGAGCACCGACATCCAGGTCTGGCGCGAGAGCACCGAGCAGCAGCGGCAGCAACAGCGGCAGCAGCAGCAGCAGCAGCAGCAACATCAGCATCAGCATCAGCAGCAGCATCAGCAGCAGCATCAGCAGCAGCAGCAGCATCAGCAGCAGCAGCATCAGCAGCAGCATCACCGCAGCACCTCCGTCGTGCCGTGCGAGCCGCGCGGCCTCGCCAGGATGTACCCCGCGGACAAGTCCTGCGCCATCGCTGGCGGTGGCGCGGTGACGAATCTGCAGCAGCGTTATTGCCGGCGCGACGACCACGACGGCGGCGAGATGCACAATCATAGACTGGCGAGGTCGTCGTATCAGAACGAGATCGCCGGGCCGGACAACAAGAGCAGCGCCTGCGACGGCGACGAGGACGAGGACGAGGACGACGAGGATGCCGAGGACGAGGAGGAGAACCTGGTGGAGGCGGCGTTGCCCGCCGTCGACAAGAAGCAGAGGCGCAGGGGCCTGCACCTGAGGAAGCTCAAGTCCAACTGCAAGCCGGAGGAGCTGCAGAAGCTGAAGACCCAATGCGAAGTTAGTCGCTCACACGGATTCATGCGGTAGAATGGACGCGCGCGCGCGCGCGCGGTTACACATAGCGGTCACTCGTGCGGTCCGCGCCTCGTAGATTATTTATTCGGCACACCGCTGTCGTGGCGGCTATATAACGACTCGGTATACATACCGTATAACCTTAACTCTACTCTAGCGCTCTAGACAGTAGATAGAGCATTACAATACATCTCTACCTGTATCCACCGCGCGCATCGCAGGATCGCTCATTTTATTTCGATAGCTGGTGACCTCGAAGAAGGCCCTTTGAAGCTTCTTACATGTATTTCGCGCGTATCGGACGAGTATCCGCTAATCTAGTTCCGCGCGTAATCGACGCGAGAAGGGGATCACCCCAAAGATGGTATTCGCTGATATTGCGACACAGAATCGCACTCATTATCGTCCAATTGTCGACAGATACTCGTGCGCGATTGCATCGCTGGGCTGCTCGCCAATCTCTCCGTGCGGGACTTTCAAGAGATCGAAGGTACGCGAGCGTGCGACACGCGGCCGCCGCTTTTCGGCACTCCTCTTATCGGTCGTTCTTTCCGTCGGCAGGGGAGCTGAATCGCGCGATCTGCTGGTACCTCAGCTGCGACCGATACTGGGAGGACACGAAGAGGCACCAGCGGCACACACCGTGGCAGCTGCTGACCGTGTTCATGCTGGTGTTGTTCTTGTCGATCTACGTGTGTTACTACGTCATATGGGTCTGCTTCAAGTACGTCGTGCCGAATTGAGCGCGTAAAGTCGCCAGAGGAGGAGAAGTCGACGTCGGCCTGACGCCTGACTGGCCGAGATCAGTTGAATCATTCATGAACGCGCGTGGAGGGCTGGGAGAAGTATTAAAAAAAAAAAAAAATACGACTATAGACAGTCAATATCGCGGACCTCTTATGTCTCAACGTACATTGATTGCGTAGGCTGCTTTGAAGAAATTGTAATGTCGCCGCGCCATCCGTCCGTGCGCGTATTCTTGTCTAAAAATAGATATCGAACGAGCGATTAAGACAAACTCGAGACGTACGCAAAAAGCAGTTGCGCAAATAATCTTTCGACGAAACAGAATTTATTGGCCCTTTATACTCGCGCTGCTCCTCTCTTCTAATCGACACTTCCGAACAACGGCAACTCGACGAATGAACGATCACACGAATGCAGCAAAAGATCAAGTCGTACTACCTCTTTCACGAGGTGTGACCGGTTTCTCCGGCAACTTTCACGATCCCTGAACTAGAGCTTTCTCGCTCGTGTCAAAAGGTGGATTGATAAGAAATAGAGTCATCCATCTCATGAAGTATCACGTCACGTTGATTATTCTAAGATATCGTAACTCACATTACTCTGAAGATACCGAATCACATTGATCATGGTATTATCACGACGTTATCATTAGCGTTCACATTAGCATCACGACATGCTGCGCAGAATGCCGTGTCCGGCATTTTCCATAAGAAAGAAAGCGTCCGTTTCCCCTTGACGCGATTTCTCTTCAATTTCGTCCTCTCATGGCAGAACTGCGGACGAAGATCGACTGGACGGTACTGGCAGTGTGGATTACAACGGTAGCACGGATCGCTCGAGTACCTCACCGTTACACGACCCGAGCATTCACGGCGAGGGCAGGCTGGAGAGACGAAAGGGCGAGCACGGGGACGAAAATCTGCCCTTGTCGAGCGAGGACATGCCCGACCACTACATATACGTGTCCTATCCGCCCGAGCTGAAGCGGCGACTTCTAGAGAGGTAAATCGAGCCGCGCAAGAATGCGCTCGTCGAGCGACCTGCGTCGCAATCGTACAGTGATCCTCCTGCTTACAGCTGTTACAACAGGACCACTCGCCTGTGAAGCCGGGGCGAGGCGAGTTTACGGCGAGGAAATGAGGAACGCATGGGAAATATGCGGCGGCAGATTGTCCCGTATCCTGCACAAAGAAAACGAAAATGCACACTCGAGGCTGAAATTCTTCACTCTCTCATTCCTCTCGCTACCCTCGTGTTTTGTATACAGAAAGCGAATAAATTGCATCGTGGACACGATCTCTCTTTCTCTCTCTTTCTCTCTCTCTCTCTCTCTCTCTCTCTCTCTCTCTCTCTCTCTCTCTCTCTCTCTCTCTCTCTCTCTCTCTCTCTCTCTCTCTCTCTCTCTCTCGCGCCTGCTTCTGCCGTTCGTTCGTTTCATTCGTTTGACTTTTCGGGAAATCTCACCGTGCGGGGGACAAAGAGATGACGTGTTTGTTATTTGATCGTGGGAGTTGTCGTCTCCTTGATGCGTAATTCGGCCAGTTCCAATCGATACCGCTAATTTATTTCTCACGCTGCAGCGACGGAAATTTGTTCAACTTTTCTGCACAGATTCTGTTAACGTGCTCGTTATCGAGGATAACGAAGGTTTATTGATCAATGCGGTACAGATATCATGACACAAGTAAGCTGATATATCTCCTCATCAGACATTTGTTTTCTTTTTTATTAAAATAGAATTTATTTAATAGAATTATTTTTTTATACTTATGTACATGTATATAAATACATCGTTAAATACAAACTTGAAACAGCGAAATAGAATTTCCTCACCTCGACCGTTTTCCGGATTTTTTTCCACGTAAAGAAGTGGAATGGAATCAATCGACATATACTTAACAGATATACAAACTATCCAAGTTAAAAACGAAAAAGAAGATACATTGGACCTTATTTTGCTTGAAATATGAAGCGATTCACGTTAAAACCAATATGTCATCTTCATGGTTCCGTCGGAATCGCGTTGCGTATCCATCACGCTGGACTGACGAATCAAACGGCGAACGCTCGCCGTGCTCGGCCGTTGTTGTTCCTCTAAAATAGACGAAGCAAGCGGCATTTCAGGCACTTCGTGCATCTCAACGGTTTCTCGTGCCGATAGATCCTCGTACGACGCAATCGACGAAGGTCTAGAAATCAGAAATTATGATGAGACAAAAAAACTATACGAGAAGAGACGAGGTCAAAGCCTCGCGGCGAGAAAATTAAATCATGCAGCGGCCTTTGCGACTGAAATGTGACTGACAAACGACATCTTCTTCTTCTCACAAGTTTACATCTCAATATCACATCGCATGTTTACAAAATTTATGTGTCTTTTTCCTCCAGAAGAAAATATCGTTTCACGCGCTGAGTGCTTCGATAGACGATAGACGGAGAAGTCATCTTCTAGAGTACTGTAAGCGCGCAGAAATCTCATTCGATTTCTCGCTAATGCGTACTTTGTGGGAATGCAACGAATGCAATCGGCGCACGTCCAATCCTTGCCGAACAATTCTCCTTCCTCCACTGTCTGCGGCAGACGGTGGTGCAATGTTTCCGGTAACCGCAGGCCAGACAAGCCCCCAATTACTGAGACCATGCCTAAGATGACCAGAGGCAAGACAAGATTATCTTTTCCCTGGAAATCGGGTTAATGATTAGCTTGGAGCAGATTGCTCGCAACGCGATGTTTTCTTAATGGAAAAGGTAAATCGCAGTGATGGGGCGCATTGTTCCAGCAGCATTCCGGCATATCGACTTAGACTTACGAGATACGTCACGAAGGGTATGATGATGAGTCCGAGGCCGCTGATGTACGCAGAGAAGCCAATGGCAATCCCGCGCAACTGAGTGGGGTAAAGTTCCCCGGCGAAGGGATAAATAATTAGAAAAGACGCCGATATCGCCGACTTGGACACGAGGAACAGTATCAGAGTCTCCAGCACGGCATCTTGAATGAAGAAAGATGGAATGATACTCGCTTTAACAGAGAATTGCGGCTCAATTGTGTAGCGTGCGTCGCAATGATATCACTTTTCTCAGACACGCGGCGGCGACTGTCTTCGACACTAAGTGACTCTCCCGTTTCCGTCGGATGCCGAGGGCGCCGGTGCATTATATAATTAACTAATTATATCGTTCCGCTGTCGCTATAATTAATCGAGTCATTAACTAATCGGCCAATGGTGCGTACCGGACGAAAGCAACACCGTAGCGATGCACGACACTCCAGCCACCACCATGCACAAGCAAAGCGGCCACCGGCGGCCCCATCGATCCATTACAACCCAACACGCCATGTAACTGGGGATCTCGGCGAGGGAAGAGAACAGGAAGCTCAGATGTTCCTCGTTCCCCAGAGCCGGCCCGTAATAGGAAAGGCCGACATACACCATGTTGTTGGCGAACCTAGTCGCAATAGAAACAAGATGCATCATCGCGCTGGGCACCACCCATTAATAAATCCGTAAAACTCTATCGCTCTATCTGAATCAATTATATCATCGGAATCTGAATTATTCCCTCAGTCTGAACTGTTTCTTTTATCTACGATTTACTCTGATCAAATATAATCGCGACAGATGTCGCGAAACGGTTAATCCTAAGTGTCAACACAGATCAGTAGATAAATCAATGACGGAAACGTTCGACACGATAAAAAAGTAAGTAATGTGTCGATAACAAGAGCAGATAAGAATATGCGTGTAAAGAAGAGCATCGACGTAACGTAATGTGTGCAAAGCTGTCACGTTCTTAGGCAAATATTAAGTGAAGATTAATGTATGTACTTCTCTCTGTCTCACCAGTTTAAAGTAATAAGGCACGTTTTAAGGCGCATGTTCGGCGTTCTAAATAGCGAGAGAACACCGGGACCAGCTCGTAATCTCTCTTCCTCGCTCTTTGATCTCGACATCGTCATGCGCTGACGGAGCTTCTGCGTGAATGACAACGGAAGTTCTTTACCATTCACTCGCGCCAAAGTTTCAAGAATATCGTTAGCCTCGCCGAGGCGACCCTTCGCCAGCAACCATCGCGGTGATTCCGGCAAGAACCTGAAACGACCTCTGATTCTGAAGAAAAGATCTAAACTTTTTTATCAAGTGATTTTTCTAGGCATTTATGGATATTTGAGACGTTTGCACGAGAGGAAAAAATTATACGTCGAGAACATTTATAAAAATTCTTTAAAGATTTTCGTCGCAACTGAACCATAATCGTGACGAGTGATTATTATTATAACAAGTCAATAATTATTATAATCAACCAATTAGTGACAAAAATGCAACTGAATCTTCTGAACAATTTCTAGGAAATTAATTAATGCTAAAACATCGATATGATTACAATGTAATGTCACGTCATTAATGGACTTGCTTTTCAATGAATGAATTTTTTATGTGAATTTTATTCGCTCACCACCAGTAGAGAAAATAAATCAGGAAAGGTGCACTCGTAGTTACGGCGAGTGATCGCCAATCGCGAATCAGATAAGTAACGCCTGCTAACATGCAAAGACCCATTGTGTAGAAAGTACAAGTCATGACCGTTACGAATGAACGATAATTTGGTCCGACTAGTTCCAAAGCTGCCAAAATGAAATTTTTTCATTAGATTATTATTATTACACTTGAGATTGTTATTACTAGATCATTCAAGTTTCCAGCGTGTTATTTGGCGTCAAAGCAAAAAATTATGATAAAATATATACATATATCACACGAATAACGTCTGCAAGCAACTAGTTTCTTTCAACAGAAAAATTAAAATTCAATCATGTGCTCACAGATAATGAATGGTATTTGATAAATAGCCGGTATCGTTAAGCCGACGATAACACGTGTAGCAGCCCAAGTCCAAAAGTTATTTGATATCGATGTTAAAAATCCTCCAGTTATTAAGGTCGCCAAACACGTAAAAAAGGACAATCTTCTCCCAATTCTGTCAAGCAGAACAGTTCTATGTAGATAAGATATTAAAATGAACTAGGATATGAAAAATGTAATTTACAGTAAAGAAAGAGAAAAAAGAGAGAGAGAGAGCGAGAGAGAGAGAGAGAGAGAGAGAGAGAGAGAGATGTTACGTGAATAAAAGAATTTTACTCAAGAGAAAAGGAAGAAAAATTAATATATGTTCCAATTAATGAAAAACGATGTGAAACAAGCTTTATATGGACGTTGAACAACTAAAGCTAAGATAGAAAGTGATTAGAGCTGAATCTTTGAAACGCTCGCACCGATTTTCTAATTTACCTGTCATTTAGTGTACCGAACAAATACACTCCTATGGGGCCTCCTGTATTAAGAGCCACCAAACCGATCGTCGGATAAATCGCCCGACCGCACACAAGATCAAACTGCAACACATTCAAATCTTTAGTGAAGTGAAGAGGCAGCGCATGCCTAAGAATCGAGACGTTTAGTGCCTTCTACAAATTTGCCTTCGCGCAAACGCTTAATAATAAAAGCATGCACGAAAAAAAATCAAAATCTTTTCGAAATATAACAGAACGTCTCGCAAAAATCTTCCACGTATGCTCTAACATTTCTAAGTAAAGATATATCTGTAAAAGAATTATACGTATATTTATACCTACAGAGATCAAATATACGCTTGCTATTGTAATTGCTTTGAATTTTCTCCACTGATCTCATCCATTTAATGACGCAATTGTTACGTACGCATATTTATCGCTTGATAAAGGAGCTTCAACAAAGAATTAATAAGGAATTTAGATATCTCTTCACGCGAATTAAAGTAAAAATTACTCAGCAAAGCGCAAATGGCACCGCTGCTAAACACCGGAGAGAAATGCAAGAGCTGGATGAGAAGTTGACTGTTATCCGACTTCTCTCCGTATATCCATACGGATCAATCGATTACTCGCAGCAATGGTAATCTAATCGACGGCTTACGGAATCAAGCATGGTCGATGACATTGATGCTGTGTACTTTATTATTAGGACACATAACGTACGTCGATGACGATGGACGATATGACCTCGGAGGTCTCGTACTCCCAGCCATGGTCGCAGGGCACGATGGACCACGACGCGTTGGGCGCGGACGGGTACGTCGTTACGACGGAGTGGTTCTCCGTCGTCCAGTCGACATCATATCGCGTGCACTGGCTGTACGTCTCGTTGTCATCCTGCATGTCACATCACATCTTTTAGTCCTGGCGCGAAACATGGCATGAATAATGCATTAGCCTCGGGCTCGCGCTAAAGGCGGGCTCGATTTTACAAGAGGGATGCGAGAGTCGAGCGGGCGTTTTCGAGTCGAAACCCGAAATAATGAATTCCGCTCGGGTTCTGAAAGTTTTCGCGATACTTCACGCATATAACGTTACTTTCGCACTGTTCACAAGTTTGTTTACCAACGATCTCGCATTACTCGCGCTGGTTAGCATATTCCTAGGTGTTAATGAAACGGCTACAAGTGACTGAAAATTTGCAAGTAAATCTGCGCGCTTGGCCTCTGATAACACTGTCCGATATGTTTCGAGCTTTTTTCTTTGTCCGGCGAGTTGAAACAGTGTCATTCCCAATATACTTTGGCCGCTAAACACGAATCCATATAAACCAAGTGCAGTTACCACGTTACAACGTCGAAAGAAATTGTGCAAAATGGGCGAAAATTTTCCGCTCCCGCTCGGCTAAAGTCTCCTTTTTAGTCGAGACTTGAATTAAAATTTACAGCTTCACTCCGTGAAATATAGCCGAGACTGAACCAGGTTTTTTTCTTTTCGTGAACTTTTAAAATTACATTCGATAGTACTCGTCGAGTTACGTACGGTGATACCACCCCCGAATTTTTCCCTTCACCGGAAGAGCCTGAAAATAAATATATCCCTTTAGAAATGATAGAAGATCAATCTTTTTCGATCTCTCCCAAGCACTCTTCCGCGAAAGCGTGATAAAAGAATTTCGAAAGGAATAAGAAATAAAGGGAATAACATGCTTGAGCGTACATCATTCCTTTTCATCTCTTATTCTTCTCTGAAAACGACAAATTATTATGTGACGTCTCAGATAATCGTATTAATATCCTAACAATTGCGATTTTATCTTTTGTCTACTGAGAAAGGAAATATTATATAGGTAACCAAACCTGCAGAAGCAGACATCGAGCGGTAAATTTCATGGGCAATTTTTTAAGAGAAAAAATACAACAGGTAGTGCGCTAGTAAAGTATGAAGACAGATCGATGACAGCAGGAACCGAACAAAATCTGTCGTTTCCTATCGAAATAATCAATAATTATTGAAATGTATTTTCATTCTCGAGTGGAACACAGTGCAGAAATTCTGTTCGGTTTTTGCCTCCCAATCTACCGTCAAGTTGCGTCAGCAGCCTTTGTCGACAGAACACGGGCTTAATGCGGAATCGCTACGGATCTACGATTTTATTTATATTTTGCGACTCAGTCTCGCCGGGTATCTACATCTTTCGGAAAAACTCCAATACTCGAAATCGCGCTCGACGCTGTCGAGCCAAAAATGTGGGAGTGCTCTTTGAATGCGACAGATATGGCAGTTTCCGCTGCTCGGAGATACGAGAGGAGCGAAGGGTGATGCAGCATGAAATTCACAAACAAGGAAAATGACACGTACATTTAGCGCTAATACAGTGTGACAGAGCAGGTACGTTGATACGGCGTGTCGAGGCCGCAAATGAGGAAGCGGCGAGGCAACGTATAACCGGTAGGTGCATCTCAAGGTCGTACGAGCGGTGCCGTATCTACGAAAGCTCCTGGTCGCCGTCGACGACCGGCGCACCTGAATCGCAGGAATGGCGAGCCGCCTTCTGCGAGCGGCGTCCAAGTCTTCCAGGCCCGGCACTTTGCACCAGTGCGGCGGGGTGTCTGCCATGAACAGCTGATTGAAGGCGCAAAAGCCGCAAGGCAGGCACGCCGGCAGACAAACCAGCCAGAGCAGCTGCTTCTGGTAACGACCGAATTCGCCGACGACCGACCAGAGATCGTCCAGATCGAAAGCACCCTGCGAGAGACATTCCGCGCGTAACTGACCATCCTCGCGCGTAACAAGTGGTTCCAAACCATCGACAATGCCGTGTTTGCGCATTGTTATCTTGCGCGCGCGCGCTCTCGGCCGAACTTCCGACTTGATTTATTTTTTTGAATATCGTTATCTTTTCTTCTTCATGGAAGATAGCGGTAGGCCGCACGTTAGCGCGATAACAAGAATTATTCAATTCTAGAGGGATAACGAGAATTACTCTTGACTCTAGAGCGAAACATGGGAGCGTTTCAGCTCTTACAAATTAATGACTCGAGACATGAAAATGCAACGACAACGAAAATGTTTTGCATACTTTATCATAATTTCTTTAGTTTTATTTTTCGTACCGTCGGGGAAACGAAACTTTCTTCCTTCCTTTCCTTTTAAACGTTACGCCGGTTAAGCAGCTTTGAACGTTGCCAAAGTAAATAAAATTACGATAGGAGATCATAATTCGAGATCTTTGTCCCTCTGTTGGAAGTTCGAACACATGTCTCGCATTCGCAAGCTCAAGGCTGCCGCGCGCGTGTAGCTCGAAGTGATGAAATGACTTCGTCTTCGAGAAGACGACTTCGAAGAAAGCGACTTCGTCGCTGATTGTCATTTACTATATTACGGAGATTACAGCTAAGCTCCGCCGCTCTCTTAATTGTTATGTTTCTGATCACAACGTGACAATATTATTAATTAGAATTAACGGTTCCAATGAAGGGTGCAATTTTTTGTGTTGACGACAATGTAATCGATATGTAAGGGGAAAGTTGACGCGAGGCCCGACGTTAATTACGCTTTTACGTAAACTCCGATTCGTCATCGGGGATGAAAGAAGCAGAAAGTGAAATGGCATTAGGCGGAAGCGGCTTGTGCGATAATACTCACGTCATCCTTCGCGACCTTACGGTCTGCCGCGTGATTTGGCTGCGTCGAGTCATTATCATCTTGCCGCTCCATTTCGTGAACTTCGGCCTCGTCTCACGATATCGAAAGCCCCGATGATACCCTACAAAGGCGTCGTCACGTGACGTGCATTAGCCTCTCCACCCAATGGACGACGATTCGACCGATGCAACGCGCATCTTCTTGCCGGTGTTCTCTTCACGGTGAAAACGCGAGAACGATTTTTCTCTCTCTCTCTCTCTCTCTCTCTTTTCCTCCCTCCCTCTCTCTCTCTCTCTCTCTCTCTCCCTCTCCCTCTGCAACTCTGTGTCTCTTTTTCTCTTCCTCTCTCTCTCTCTCTCTCTCTCTCTCTCTCTCTCTCTCTCTCTCTCTCTCTCTCTCTCTCTCTCTCTCTCTCTCTCTCCCTCGTGGGTTTTCAAGGCGCACCACCATGCACCCTTAACGATTTCGGCGTCGACGGCGATTCGTCGCGCTGCGACTTCTACTAACAGGACGGGCCCAAAATAACAAGGACACCAGTGAGTTTGAATATTCTTCCAATCGCCGAGTTCGGTGTATGATATTTTTTGCGCGATACCGGAAATTACACACTTGCCGAGACTTGTCGAAAATAAGTACACGCGAGTATCTCTTCGCCCGCTACGCGATGTTTACCGACCGGAAGATTTACGAGCGGACAAATGTGCATTGATTCGACGCGGGGAACGTCGACGAGGATTCATGATCGAGATGAAGGGAATGAGGGACTGCGAGAATGATGAAATTGCGAATCGTGTCGATCGTGTGCGCTTGGGGACGAAGTGTCGAGTGCCGAGCGTAATTGAACTAAAGCAGATCTCGTTAAGCGTCTCTCAATCAACGAAACTGCGATTCTCGCGACTTGACACGAACAATGACAACTCTCGGGGTCGCGTCTCTCCTTCGTTATTCACGCGCGCGCGCAAGTTCGCACTAAGCGAAAGAACATGCCGGAGGTGCGAGACGGGTGGTTGGTTGGTCTGTGACGCGTGTCGCGCGGGGTGTGCCCTTCTATAATTCAATTGGGTTAAGGATATTTAGAAGAGATTAAGAATAACGCTGACACATGCTGTGTGTTACGCACGCACGACTCTCCCGATACGGCGATCTGATACACCCTTCCTCTCTCCCTCCAGCCCCCCCCCCTCCTGCCGTATCTTCTCCGCCCACCCGGATGAATGCGAAGATTATTTTCGTATGGTTTCAATTGTCCCCATCGCGGTGAAAACTTAATTCCGTTAAAAAAAAGGAAAAAAAGACCCCTCGCAACATCGAAACTTGAGAGTGACAGATTTCCTCACGGGGGCCACGGCGATTGTTATCGGGAAGATATTTTGAAGATGTTGCAAAGTATTTTGAAGTGCACTTTTGAAGTGAGACTTGGGACTATGTTGGGCAAGGTTGGGAGATGAGAATGTTCACATGGCTGCCGGAAAAGAGAGACGCGCATTCTCGCGGACGAAAGTATGGAAACAGATGTAAAACAGATGTTCAAAAACGGGCGGCGATGCAGTGGCAGTGCTTGTACAGTTGAGCGGCGACTGGTAATAATGGCATCACTGCGTGTGTACAGATTTCAAATGGAATTTATTTTCGGGTCATCGTGTTTTTCCTTCGCTTTTCTTTTTGTGAGAAAAGAAAAATCATGAAACAAGAGAACAGGAAGCAATTCGCATTCCGCCGATTGGATCTCATTTCATCCGTCAACGCGCGCTCGCGAACGAGGCGCGAACACGCATTCTCTCTCTCTCTCTCTCTCTCTCTCTCTCTCTCTCTCTCTCTCTCTCTCTATTTTTCTCTCTTTCTTTCTCTCTCTCTCTCTCTCTCTCTCGCATTCGAAGTTCATGTCTTTGAAGAGGATCAAATGAAACGGTGAGAAACAGCAGTCGAAATAACTCGATATTGTATGGCACTGTCGCTTGGCGATTCGTATAATCTTGTTTCTCGCACACATCGGTACAGTCGGCCACATTAATGTCTTAATTGATATGCAATCGAATTGATCCAGCACGGCGCATCGTGATGGACGCGCCGTGCGCGACGATCGAGGACACGCGAGTGTCCCGAGGAAATCGTCCTCGAGGAGGCTTCTTCGCGAGCCCTTTCGACCGATTGGCAATAGCGATTCCTCTTGCCTGAGGAGAGGAGGGGGCTCTAATTTGTGGCCTAATTCTAAATCGAGCGACCATTAATGTGACCAATTATACGCTAGACACACTTCCCGAAGAATCGTCCTCCAGTCATTCCACGATCGCTCTGGCACACACATAAGCGATGTAGCCGAAGTCACATTGTCGTTGTCAATTGTAAACCACCACAGAGAACACAATCCTCGCAAATCACACAACCGACTCGAACCGAACAGGAATAAACGAATTCGCGGTGCACTCACACACCGCGTGAATATGCCGCACCCTCTCCCGTTCAAGTCTAATTAGCTCTCCTCGCGACCGTCGTAAGCGGAACTTGCGATTAAGGAAGCAAGTGAAGGAGAGAGAAGCGTTGTACTCTCGAGAATAAGAAACGGACTCGCACCCTTCGATAAAAAAAAAAAGAGAAAAAGTCTCACGCTCGTAATTGCTCGGCCTTCTGACATTTGGATCCGCGTCAATAAAAGGTCAATCCCATGCAGGAGACTCTTTGGTTTCGGTTCCACCTCTTGGTGGAGTGGTGAGAGCGAGATTTTCGCAGAAGAAGACGGGAAGATGATTTATTCGCACGGATGCAAAGTTTTAGACGAAGAGGATCGGATTTAGATCGTTTCGCGTATAACGTGTATCACTTTCGAAATTATCGATTATGTGCAAAATTTATTCTCGGAGATTCCACTTGGAAGTTCGCGAATCAAAATACCACGGAGGTCACGCGTCTTCTTTCACTTGACTCTTTAATTCGAGAATTTCAGGGTAACTCCCAATTTCCGATGTGAAATTGCGCGCCCGAGTAAAAAAAAAAGGTTCCGCTCGAGATCATCCTTGTTGCGCAGTGTACGCTTAGAAAATGTCGCTGTTTTCCCTTCTTTCTCTTTCTCTCCGCCTCATCGAGATCTGAATCGCGATATTCGAATATCCAACTAGACTAAACTTCACATCGTCGCTCTGTCGTGAAGATGCGCGGTATGTTTGCATCATAATTAACAAGTTACGGCGCGACAGCCGGTCAAACGCGCGTCGTATTAAATCCGACATATTCTCTTCCCTTTTTTTATCCCCGCATAAATTCCCTTGAATATACAAAATAAAATCTCTCCTATGACATCACATTTGTCGAAGTAACTTAATTTCCCTCCCGTTTTGGTGTTCCTTTCATTCTCTTTGCTCAATATACGATCGATCCGTCGAGACGACGGACGTCCGCGAGAGACGCGGGCGAATTTGGCGCATTTCCCTTAGCTCGACACCGATCGCAGTTGCAAACAGGACATCGAGTTGAGCAAGTGTCGATGATTAACGTCCCCGAACGGCGAGGGACACCGAGAGCGCGCGTCGATTCGATCGCGATTCCGGGCGACGACGCGCGTCGCGAGTGTAGGCCGTGATTTTTTTTTTTTTTTTTTTTTTCGTCGCGCTCGTGATCCGGCGAGGAAGTAGTCGCTTTATTATCGCGACAAAAAGGGGGGGGCTTATTCTACAGAGATCGGCGGATCGAGTGCCAGGAGGTAGCTGAAGGAGAGGGTGGAGCAACGGCGGCATAGGCGGACGTTCGTCCAGCATCGTCCACTTTATTTCTCGCTTCACCCACGCATATGTAGATCGTCCAAAGACACATTTTCTCCAACACACTTCAAATATAATTATCTCAATCCGATCGCGTCTCGATCGGCAGCACTCAACATACACACATGCATACACGCACAGGTGCACATGGACATACACACGTACATTTTCTTTCTCTCTCTCTCTCTCTCTTTCTCCTCTTTTTCTCTTGCTCTCTCTTTCTCTCTCTATCTCTCTCTCTCTCTCTCTCTCTCTCTTTCTCTCGCGCGCGCAGCACACCAAATGTCATTCACACACGCAACATTTTTTTTTTATTTGTTTTAATTAGTTCGCCCATCTCATCGCGGCGGTGGCGTCGCTCGCTCTCGGCGTCTGCTCCCAAGAAAGAACGATCCGGAGCATCGTTGCCGTAACTAAATCGCGGGGAGTCTCAGCGAGCGTATACTTCAGCTAATCATAATCGCTGAATGCGGCAACTCTTTCCCCGTCGCGGCAATTTCGCGGAAGCGCGAGATCCACACCCGCGGGTCCTTCTCGTCCGAACCTCCTCGACTTCCCTTTACTTTTGTATTTTTATTTTTGATATTATTATCACTAACGCTATTGAGGTTTCCGTTCGGCGCGACGATTAATTGATAGAGCAATGACGGTCAGTCACTATGGAACACGCGATTCTTAATTGACGGGTCGCAGTTTCGTTTCGGAGGTCGTCGACGGTTCGTTCTCCAAGCTCGCGTCGCTCTTGATGAATCGACATCGACGCGTTTTTCCGCGCGCGTCCGAAGGCGCGTCCACGGGAATGGAATTCTCTCCGTTACGGCTACATCGTCGGCAGCGGAGAAAAGAAACCAAGGAGAAAATGAAGAAGAAGAAGAACGACTCGCCGGTACACTCCCGCGATGCCACTCGTCGATCGCCATCGCCGCGCGGTCAAGCGCATCGAACAACAGATTTACGCGTTGGGCTCGTGTTTCGCGGCTCAATCGTTAAAAAATATTATCGAAAATATTGTCTCGTACGTACAAGGACACCGCAGGCGGGCGGCGCATCGCGAGGGCGTCCGCGGGCCCGCGGGATCGTCCGGAACCTCCGGAAGAACAGCGACGTGGTGCGACTGCTGCTAATGCAAGGTACATGTGTGTGTGTGTGTGTGTGTGTGTTGTATGACCGGGTTGATCTAAAGCGTCGATAAAGAGGATTCCGTCGGAAATATCATTCGAAAAGTGTCGAACGTTCGAATGGCACCGGTGACTATACACGATCAAGACACGAAAACAATCGCGAGAAAGTGAGAAAGGCGCGGAATGTACTCGGCTGATCTTTTTCTGCGCCCTTCGGCATCCTCCTCTCAGCGCGTTCGCCCTACCATCACCACCACCACCACCACCACCACCATCATCACCCTCTTCCGCTCGCTCACGTAGTCGGAATTTCCCCTTTTTCGTTTGTAGTGTCACATTTCCGCGCAGCTGGCAGATTCTACGGCGATTATTTCCGCAAGTACGACCGCGCCGAGTTCCCTGATCACTAGGAGCAGAC